AATCTATCCTCCTTACGGAGTGACTTTCACCCATAGGCGGATTCAGGGGATGGAGCGAAGAGGGCACACGGTACACGTCCCCCCTCCTCCGTTCGCTCGAAAAAAGGAGGAAGAAAAAAGGAAAAGGGGAAGGAGGAAGGAGGAAGGAATGGAGAAAAGAAGACGGAAAGGCGCTTATATTTGGTAATTATTCACTGAAAAAAAATTCTCGGCGTTTTTACCAAGGTCCGTTGGTAACTTTACCATCTCCTTTTTTTCCAATTATTGGTAATTTTACCAAGACAGACTGGTAAACTTACCTAAAAACCGGTATTTTTACTGTTTTTTCAGGTAAGAATACCACTTTTATTGGTAATCAATTCCCGGTAACTTTGCCATTTTATCTCGGTAATTCTACCACAGTCGATAAAAAATATTGGCGTTTTTACCAAGGTCCAGTAAAATTACCGAGAAAGTTCAAGAATTTTACCAAGATTTCTCGGTAAAATTACCAATTCCATAAATGGTAATTTTACCAAGAAAAAACTGGGATCAAATAGAACCCTGAATTCTTGGGAAGTTTACCCTTTTCTTAGTAAATACACCGAGATTTAATTTGCAGTCCGGCACCGAATTTTACTCGTCGATTTTTAACAGTGTTGGATCAAGCCCGTTTTGAACCGCAGTGATGATTACAGCTCATAGAGACATCTTTCCAACTTCCTAAATCACAATTTATGGATTGTCGTGTCAATTTCGGAGAGAATAAAAGAAAGAACTTTTTGAAGTCTACAGCCCTTTGCTTTGGTTTGTTTGAAAAATGTCCAGAAAAAAATGGGGTTAAAACATATTTTCTTGCAAAAAATTATTGGAAAAACGTCGTATGAGCATTCGAATGATGCCCAATCGTCTCGCAGAAAAATATGAATCTTTGAAAAAAAAATTTAAATGGTTTTCTTTGAAATTCAGACTTCGATCAAATTGCGAACAAAGTCCTCTGAAAAAGCCTAAGAGAAATCTCTAAAACTTTTTCTGAAAATTCGTGATTTTTCAGAGGAAATTTGACAACATCTAATGGCCCGTACGGCGTTCTTCCTTAGCACGGTAGTATTGGCCCGTGACATATGTTCTTTGGCCCGGAAAAATGTGTAGTTGCCCACCAAGCGACGCACAGTGAGTAGAGTCAATCGGAGAGGTCGGACATCAAAGTTTTAACTAATACCACCAATTTTGATGTTTATTTCGTCTTATTTTAAATTCCAAGGGGTGTTTTAAGAAAAGAATTTCACTAGGAAACCAATGGAACCACTTTTAAAATCTCAAAGTTTTATATAAACGGAGTTATAAGCGTTTAAAGTTTCCAAATTTTGTCAGACTTCTTCTATTGACTCGATCCGCTGTGCGACGGTCGTAGCACGATGCTGGAGGGCAGCCAGCTTCGCAGATTCGACCGGGAGTCGTCAATCTTTTGTTCTTAGCCGTAATTATTCATCTCGCGAGCATTTAATCATTTAATGCACATAATGGATTACCTTATTTATGCCTGATTACATTATTTAAACAAACTGTAATTATCGCTCGGCGCGGCCTCCGATCTGTTGGCCGTCAAGGTGGACCAAATTCATCTTCATGTTATATCGTTTCGCAAGTCTCCTCTGCAAAAATTCCTCTAGCATTTCACAACATCAAACATCTGTTATCAGTCCTTTCTTCTGATTATATAATCATTCGACAGTAATCCCTAGTTTTTCACCGTAAACTCACTAATACGTGAAACATTCTTTGTAATCAACCCATTTATGGCAAAACTCTAAAATCTGTAACTGATTGATTTGAGTGTTGGGGATTGGTGTTTTTCCGTTTATATTTGATTTCATTTTCTTACAACATCATTGCTAAACTGATTTTGGTGTCATTATCAAATTTTTAGATGGAACGGAAAGATTTGCCCATTTCTGATAAATCTTCGTTTGCGTTGAGCACAAGTCTAGGATTTTTTAAATTTATTAATCAAGTATCTACTATCAAATTTTAATTAATGGACTTTGTGAACCCACTTTTCAAAGCATATTTTTTTATTCGAAATCAATTTGGTGTGAACCGGGAGTATAAAAGTGAAAGAAAATGATTTAATATTTAATGGGACTATTTTCTAAAACTTTGAAGTTGGATACATTTTTTTACGGGGAGCACACGCATAACATTCAGCGAAATAGTCATAGTCATGGGGATTAGACTTTACGTAAGAGTTGATATAGATGATGATAATAGAAGAACTGTCAAATGTATTAAGTGACATTATTTGTCAATAACTCAGATTGCTAATACGTTCGGTTTTTGAGTCGAGTAATCAGATACGTTTATGCAAAGCACTTTAATACTTAAAATGAATGATTTCATATCTAAAACCAAAAACGTTGTTACCCTGCACAATACATTACCTAGTAGTTAAATACAATATTCTCATTTGGAGAATGATTATAGAAATTTCGTACTCAATGATCATGGACAAATTTGCTTTATCGTGCTGTATTAAAATGTTGAGTCCGAAAAACAAACTTCTAAAGCTTCCTGGAAAACTTCAGTGTCTTAATTTTGAATGATACAATAACGAAAATGTGGATTTGAGATAATCGAAGGCGCTTACAACCACGCTACATGGAAAGAAATGTCTACATATAGACATCGGCTAAAGGCTCGCCTGAGCGTTGGTAACTCTGCAATCCGCAGCACACAGGCACCGAACGAGGTCAACGTGGTGCAATTCTTAGCAACCCCAAAAATTGACTGCTTCCAACCTTCATTTTAGCTGACAGCCGTTGTAACCTGTGAAAGCCTTTCCACGTAAATGCGTTTTTTGCTTGTTTTTTGTTCTTTCCTCCTTAATTGTAGAGTATTGAATACACGTTGCAGTCCTTGTATCTTCTGTGTTGTTTGATCATGGAACTCACCTCTTATTGTCACCGAGGTGATTATGTGGTGTGAGTCGCAATACTGGTGCATCACTTGAAAATATTCGTCGATTTAAAGTGCCCCCTTAATTTTTTGTGTTTGTCTTCTGTTTTCTTTGGTTACTTTTTGCAAGAAGTCAAGTATAATTAAATCGATCAATAATTTGTTGCTTATTACTGAAAAAGGTGCTCAATCTTTGAGTAATTATTCCAAGGAAATTTGGTCCCAAGTTCTAATGGTCTTAAAACGAAAACACATCACTAATGATTTAAATGAGTATATTCTTCTGTTAAGCAAAACTTCCATTTTTGAGTTTTTCCTTGAGAAATAGCCTCATACCTTTCTTTTTTCGAACAACAGGCATTTTTACAATTCTTGGACTCATTTTTTTAGAACTCTAAAATAGAAAATTTGCAAAACGTCTGCATTTAGCAGGCACTAAACACTCAGAATATCCATCATATTAAGAAAAAAGAGAAAAAAAAAATCGGGAAAAAAGTGATAGGGTTTATCTCCTAACATTTTGGCCTTACCCCAATTTGTTGGATGATATGAGCATTTTCAATTAATCGGCGTTTCACCACAATTGATAGGAAACGTTCATATCAACCAACAACCCCTATCCTTTTTTTTTTTTTTTTGGCAGTATTAATTAATTTTTTTTTCATTCATTCACTCATTGTTGTTGTTGTATTGTTTTAAATTAGCGGCTTCATCTCAATCGGAGGTGATGGGACCGACTCTTCGCCATTCTCAACAACATATCAACGGTGTAAGTCCGCAACCACGTATCTCGATTTTTGGCAGTTTTGAGATAGCTGCAGAAATGAGGTGCTGTAGATGCCCTTCACTGATTGTATCAAAATATCTGAAAGTCACCTAAAAACGCAGAACTCAGAACACATCTCGGAGATAATTCCAATAATACAACCGATATCTCGTGCTCTTTAATCCTTGTGAAGTATCTTACGCTATTACTTCTCAATCTGTATGGAACACTTTACGTTTTTTGATAAAAAATTGAATTTTTTGTGTCTCCCTTGGTTTGTGAAGTGCACATGTACGTATAAAGTTCGGCGCGCCGAAACTATATTTTTAATAACTACCTCGAAGAATATGAGGGCCATGAGGCTAGAAGCTTATTCTCTTACTTTTGCTTTATCATAAAATTGGCATGCGGTCAGTATTAATGATGCATGAGCTACTGGAACGTAAATTGATTTTAGGGCCGTATTCGAAATTGTTCCTTCAACCGTTCTTTTCCTGAGAAAGCCCATGTACAGTTTACATTGTGATTAAGAAGGTGCTTGAAATCACATAGTTTAAGGAACAATTTTACGGGCCTCGAGTAAAATTAAACAGAGTTGTTTTAGTTCAATATTGACCGAGATATCGCGCTTTGGAGAATTCGGCCTATGACGTCATATACCATGGCAGGGACACCCTTGGTTTCTTCCACCTTGCTTTCATCAGGCAGTGATGCACTCAACGTGAAACTTAGATGAAATGAAGGTTGAAGAAACCTAGAATGCCACTACTGTGGTGGATGACGTCATAAAACGAATTTTTCAAAGCGTGATATCTCGGTTAATATTGCGTAAAGAGTTGTTGTTTTGACAGGTCTCATTATTTTTAGTTAATCCACAAGAATCTCGCATTAAAACATGATTCTCTGACCAGCACAATTGACCCATTTCTAAAAATTCAAATTTTTGAGGTTCGAGCTCTTTAAGTATAGGTCTTACATTTAATTTACATTTTTAATTTAAAACATGCTGTGTTACTTGGACAGCGTTTAACAGAAAGGAACTAAGCCACATCAGCCTCGTCTTTAATTGAGCAATTTAATTTTTTACGAGAAAACGTTTGTCTGGATTCCTTTAAAATTTGTGACGAATTTGCTTCGTACTATGTAGAAAACTCACTCAAATTTGCACAAAAGCACTCACAACTGTTTTCATGTAAAAAATTACATTGCCCAAGTAAATGTGGCAATAGCTGATGTGGCTTTGTTCCTTTCTGTTTATGACGCGGTCCACTAGTCGAAGTCCGTATACGAATACAAATACTCATTTTTACACAAAAATATATTTGGTTAAAAAAATCAATAAATAAAATATCAACAAAATACGTCAATCGATGAGCTCATCGATTTTCGACGTTGAGATACATACAATGCAAATAATTACACAATATATTTACAAAATAGGATGAGGTGACTGAGGTGAGGAGTGACAAGTCTTGGAACTCGAAGCGAGTGAGCAGGGGTTGATTACCCGTGGTAGGGGGCGGGGTACGCTGGTGCGTAGGCGGGGGCGTAGGCCTTGGGAGCGTAGGCGGGGTGAGATCCGGGTTCCTTGTGGACAACGGCTTCGAAACCGTATCCGTTATCGGCGTAGGTCACCACTCGCTTGCTACCGTCAGGTTCGACTAACGAGTAAGTTCCCTTAACGTAGTCTCCGTCCCTGGATTCCTCCTGGCTCTTGACGTCGTAGGTGTGCGGGTCGTTGACGGTGTAGGCGAAGTTGTAGGCGGGGTGAGCGTCAGGGTAGACTGGGGCAGCGTACGCGGGGGCCTTGTAGGCGGGTGCGTGGTAAGCGGGGGCGACGTAGGCTGGTGCGTGGTAGGCGGCGGGAGCCACGTAGGCGGGTGCGTGGTAGGCGGGGGCGACGTATGCTGGGGCGTGGTAGGCGGGGGCGACGTAGGCGGGTTTGTAGGCCGGGGCTACGTAGGCTGGTTTGTAGGCTGGGGCGACGTAGGCTGGTTTGTAGGCGGGGGCGACGTAGGCTGGTGCGTAGGCGGGAGCGTATGCCTTAGCTGGGCCAAGCGAGAATGAGGCGGAGGATGTAGCGCCTCCATAGGCGTAGCTTGGGTATTGAGCCTGTGCTACGGCTACGAGAGCTGCTAAGATATAAAGCTGGAACAGGAAAATATTTTCAATTACTTTTAAGAAAATTGACCACAGGAAGGAAATGTAGACATCAATTTTATCATTAAAATTTAGAATTGATTCGCGCAGTTTTTGAAGAAGACGGCGACAGCGCAGGGGAGCGTCCCCACGGTTCATCGAACGCAAGGCGGAGGCGCCACACCTGCGCATCTGCCGGCTTCCGAGCGCCACGCAGTCTCCTCACGAATCGTCTCATCGTACATTGTCGCCAGTTCCCACTTATAAATAAAAAAAAATAAATGTGTACAAATATCGTACGAACTGAAAGAAACTCTCCGGACGACAGTAGACGAAACAGAAGTTTTCTCAATCTGCCGTGCCAAGGAAAAACGCCGTATGAGCATTCGAGAGTTTCCCAATTTTCCCGGATAAAATATGTATTTTTGGAGAAAATTGCGCGTAGTTTCCCTTGAAATTTTCAGATATTTTACTCTAAATCGCGTAAAAAATTGTCTGAAAAAATTGAAAACAAATATTCACAATTTTCCCCATAAATTCAGTTCCTATTGACGAAAATTTGGCAGTGGCTGAAGGCTCATACGGCGTTCTTCGTGAGCGCGGCAGTAACAGATGATGGAATAAACTTGATTTTAGGAGTTTGTGCAGCATTTACACTCTTATTTCGGGAAAATACGATTTATTAGAACAAAAACCCAAGGAAATAACGTAACTGTTTGCTGTAATATTGGCCTCTGAGTCCACCCACTGTCCAAGAAAGTTCTAACTTGTGGTTTTTAAATATAATCGATAAAACGTAGTAATAACAACATTTATCGCGTATTCTGACTGTTAATATTTTGCACCTCCTTTCGCAGTCCTCTTTTAGAGTGAAATGAAAACTCCCCTTCAAGTGATTTGGGGTGCTTAAAACCTTACTACCGTGCAACTTTGTTTTGACTGCAGCTGAATTTCTATCCTGGTGCCTTTACTTAAAAAAACACCCCAAATAAAATTTTAAAAGAAGGAAAAATGAATGAAGGAAATTTTTGGACGAGTTGTTGTCATAAATTGTACAAACGTGCAAAACGCCTACCTTCGATTTTGACGCGTTGTTGCATATCTCTACTTCTGTCTTATTTTTTCAAAAGAAGTCAAACTTCTTCAACTTTTTAGTGATTTGAGATTATCAATCTTCTTACCTCCGGATTCACGTCTTATTTTGTTGTTTCCTTCTAACAACAAAGGAAAATTGACAAGAAAAAAGGGTTGCTGGAACGAATTGCAAATGAATACGTGAATCTAGAGATAAAAAGAATGATCATCTCAAATGAGGGATTGCAGAACAAGGCACGCAAGTGCAGGTTTTGCTATTTCGAGAAATACGTGTTTTAAGTTTTGAAATTACATGGATCCTTATGGTGGAAAAAAAGTGGGGGGGGGGGGTTAACCGACGGTTTTTGCTTGTCAGGATGGAGATATCATTTAGATCGCATTTACCAAAAAGGAACCAGCGCAATTACAGTGTTTTCAAAATTGACATTATTTTCGTGAGAAGCCAAAACTATTTGCTATTCTGGGAGATTTTTTTAGATAATTATGAAGAGGTAACTTTTTTACAACACTGTAATCGCGCTGGTTCCTTTTTGCTGAATGCTATATAATTTTCCGACTTGAGCCGTTTATATTTTCCTCCGCCAGAAATCGCGCGGAGCTTACGGATGGCACGGATTGCCGATGACGCAGTGCAGCGGAGCGCGGCGGCGGTCTGCGCGGCGCACCCGGTTTGGTGACTTGAACGCATGAATACAAAAAGAGATCACGGCGAAACAATGTTGTCGGCGACGAGGGGAAAGACCGAGAATCGTGCGGGTAGACGACAGAGCCGATTAGAAATTTCCATACGATGTGACGGCCCTGGACGGAGAGTAAAAGTGAATGATCCAGTTGTTGCGTGCCAGGGCGGAGGGCACTCTTCGAGCCTCACACTGAAAGTCCAAGACGACCTTGGGGCCGCACCGGTCCGGCCTACCTGAGACCTACTTCCTCATAAACACGACTATTGACACACATAACATCTGCGACGTTTATGCTCTTATGTCACACATTCCCCAAGTTGCCAAACGATGTTTCCCTGCTTAATAGCCAGCCAGCGGACTGATTTTTGATAGTGATAGACAAAGCTGTATAGACAAAGAAGACATGAAGGATGGAGGGATCCTCTTGGTGGAAGCGGGTGGTTGCAATGGACAAAGGACGTAGGTAATAGACAGCGTAGATTCGTCGCTCTTCTGACAAGAGGGTGTAACTGCACTCTGCGATGAACCCTCTTGTCCATACAACTCAATGCTTTGCTGGGCTCATCTCAATGTGTAGTTACGCCCTTATATCAGCCAGGCGATGAACTAACGGCAATCCGAGAGAGACCCGATTGTTAGTTCATCCTTTATCCCCTTAGTCCATAAGAACCAGTCATTTCAACTAATAGGATCGCTCTTTACTCATTATGTCTTCTTTGTCCATAGCTTTGTCTATAAAGTTCAACTATCAGCCCGCAGGCTTTTTGATTTCATATGAACCGAATGTACGGTGTTCAATTGCGGCCGCATTTTTCGGTTCATGCGACCGCTCTCTTGGTTCTGGGAACCGTATCCTCGGTTCATGCAACCGAGTTTTTTCATTAGTTCTGTTCGGTTTGAATGCGCGGTTGCATGAGCCAAAGAAACGGTTTTCTACGGTAGTAGAATATCGGAATTTCTAATAGCGGAAAGTTTTCTACCCCTCGAGTTACCACCCTTTCTGAGCCCTCACCGGGTCAGTTCGTGAACTCGACGACCTGGAATGAAAATTCACGATAACTTTGCGGACGAGAATCAAGCCGATCAAAACCCCATCAAACGGTGCATTTTCCGACGAGTCTCCCTCTCGAGGCAATGTTATTATGAGAAAAATTAGACAGCCTGAATATTTTTGAAAGAGTCCATTATTCGTCAATTAAAAAGAACAAAAACAAAAAAAAACTGTAATTTATTCAGGGGAACAAATTTTTGTCAGTGCTTTAGCAATTCATGTGAAATATTTTTTTTTTTTTTTTTAATTTTGCCAGCGTATCTCCATTCTCTTTATTGGATACATGACACTCAAGGAAAACTTGAGGAAACTGAAAAAAATTGTCCAAATATTAGAGAATGTATCGACGATTTGCCCTTGTGTTGTACTATTCATATGTAAATTAAGAATTTTGGACCAACTATTTGCCCTGAGGGCTTAGCTCGCTCGACTTCTTAATTCGTTTTATGTGTACTTATCTAAATGCTTAATATGCGACAGTATTTTACACCGTCCATGTTATCAGCACATAAGAACTTGGCGTACTTTTAATGCGGGGCTGCAAGGAAATGTTTTAGTTTGAGTGGGTAGAATCTTTTTTACGAGTGTAGAGATGCAAAAAGAAGGAGGTGAAGACAAAAGCAGAAACATCTGAAAAAGTTAGGAAATTTCTAATATTTTAAAATGAGCTAAAATTTTCACTACCTTTTTCAAATTTATTGAAAATTGTTCATAGATTCTTTTCAAATGTAGAAGAAAAATAGTTCCTGGTTTTTTTTTATTTACTTATGAGTAATTTTTACTTCGACCTTATCTCCTAACAAAAACGGGGGAAAAAAATCGCCCATGAGAAAGAAAAATTTTATTTAATGGCGATAGTATTTTGAAAATATTTTTGCTTGTACCCATTTATTGACTAAGGGCTGAAAAGAGAACATCTCTACATTCCACTCCGCCTAGTATGAAAAATAAGAATGTTGATAGATATTTTATAGACCACAGTCGGTAACATCTCATCATAATTAACATTGAGGTGGATCTTCAGCTTTTTAGTGAACGAATCCGTAGTCGAACTATCAATTTATAAATTTTGAATTTTAGGATGTTTCTAAAGAATTTCCAAGTATCACATTATACTATTTTTTGTACATAAGTTGACCAATTTTCACCTAAAGGTTAACCTAGAAACATTTTGGATTTGCTTTAAAAGTACGTTGCGAGTAAAAATCGCGAATCAAAAGGCAAGACAGTTTGCGGTATTCACTTGGGACGTATACATTCATGGTTATTTCAAAGTGTTTCTAGGTCAAAGTCCGTGTGAAAATTGGTCAAATTTTAAATAAAAAACACCGTAATGTAATGCTTGGAAAATATTAAGAAATGTCCTGAAATTCAGTAATTATCAATTGATAGATTGGCTAGGGAACCGTTCTCTAAAGTTCTCTTGAACCATCTTAAGTACTGCAGCAATTTTTTTAATGAATGGTGCGCAAATAGTACCAATACCAATAGTCACCGAAGGCTGCTTTAAGATAGGAATAAGGTTGTAAGGTGTGACAGAGGTTGAACGAAACCTCATGTGTCACGAAGTCTAACCCTTCATTTTAAACAATGAGTTCTGACAATCTTGTTAAACGCGTGATCTTGAAGTGTCGAAATTTCATTGAGGAGTGAGAGGAAACAAAAACACGAGTTATTAATGAGTCGAATGACTTTGAGCAGGGTATAGCGCACTTGGTCAGTAGGAGGAAAGAGCGTTGCTCCTTGCTCGACGAAGAATGAAGGAGAGTACTTGTAGATGATTGATTAGTTCAAAAAGCCCGTGCGGTTTATTGCAGTTCTTGAATGTCGTATTGTGTGCACGAGCAGTTATATGTGAGGGCTTATATACGTTTTCGAGCCAGTTACAAGTTCATTCAGAAAAAATGTTGCCACATTGCTCACAATACGACAATTCAATCACCGTTTCAAACTCGTTCAAAATCGATGGCTTAATGCAAAAAATTCGTATCTCAGTTCCAATGTTGAAAAATATTCGTTTATGTTTCATTTTCTTTGAAGAAAACCAGTTAAAATGTTTTATAAAAAATCTATTTGTGCGTTTATTTTAGAATTAGTGAAGAAAATTCAGAGAAAATTTCAATTGTATCTTGTTCCTTTAAAAAATTTAAACTTGAGCATAAACTTACAACATCTCAATTGAAGAAACTTATGTTTTTTATTTTAGCCATAGATATGACAAGCTTTTATTGCTAAAACGCCTTTAATTCCATGTAATTAAGTACTGAATTCCTAGTAAAAGGTGCTCAATGTATGGAGAGTGTCTGAGCATTACTTTTTCATGCCAATCTATATCTAACATAGTTCAATTATTTCTTTCCCCTAAAAAACTTGTCAAAATAGACATAATTAAATCTCAATTTCTGTTTGCAAGCTAATAGGCTTTCATACATCTGTCATAGGATTATATAAGAGGAATGACTCATTGGTGCGGAGCTATAGACATTAATTCCAAAGTGTAAACCACTACGTATGTTTCCTGAGGTTGAAACAACAGTACTTTAAAAGATAATGTAAAATAATTTGCAAGAAAGAAGATTGCCGAAATAAAAAAAGAACGAAAACAAAGATCAAATCCTGAAAAATTGAAGATATCTCACGAGAGGTAACCAGAACGCAAAAATAATTGATCGGATCCAATCGCTACTTTTGTTAAAGAACGCCATTCATTCATTTCTTGATGATAAAAAAAAGTATTGATGATTTTTAATTATATTTGTTTAATTTGACCGACTTGGTTTAAACTTGTGAGGAAAATTGAGGTATCGGTTTTTGGTTTTTTTCAAATCAAAGTATAATCTAAAACTATTCCCCTTCAGAAGTTTAGATTCGCAATTAGAGCTGACTATCATTAGTTTATGTATATTTTGAAATGCTCCAATGCACGTTTCTAACTTTTAACTCGTTTTAGTTGATATTATGAAAATACCATTTAATCCTTTCCAACCTCATCATGCTTCAATGAGTACGTGCTGGGAATTTTGAAAAGGAAACAATAAGCACTAATGCATTGAAGAAAAACTTCAATTGTCTTATAACATCGATAGTGAAACTGCAAAAATGCGTATCTCGATTTGCGGCCTTGCAGACTTCCTGTCATACTTTATCCTCTAAACGGAAAACTACTCATCGCCTTTCCTTGAAAATTTGGGTGATTATTCTTCTCTTTGTTAAAAATATTCTGTAAAAATTCCAAGCCATAATGTTGATTCGATCTCCTTTTACAAAATAAAATAGGAGTGGAGATGTACAAACACCAAAAGCGAAGTACGCATTTTTACAGTTCACTCTCGATATTGCTCACCTCATAGTATAATTAATGTTAAAGAAAGATAAAATAGCTCATCATTTGCGCAGTAATCTTTTGCAAGACCTAACGCACCACAAAACCGCACCAACGGAGCAACCGAAAAACAACAAAAAATCTCGCTTTCAGGGTAAACCTGGCAACAGAGCCGATAATTTTTTGTGTACTTTTGAATATTATCTCACGAGAATACTTTTTTTTACGCCGAGCGCGAACCGGTTCGCTTTTACGGCTGCCTTTAATGCACCGCCCGCTTTCCGAGGCACAAACCATAAAGCGAATAACGAGCCTTTCATGAGGGCGACGGATTTTTTGTCGAAGCTGCACCGAAAACGAGGATTGAGCAACATGGACGAAACCGAAAGCGAGTCAAAGAGAACCGCTTTTTGTCGGAGCGAAGCGACGAAGGCGGGGGTGAGACACTGCACTTAATCCAATAGGTCACTGCACTGAAGGGGCAAAACAGGAGCGAGACACTTGAACGTACCTTAAACGCCATTGTTCGGGTCGGGGTGTTTCTAGGCAAAACTCGGTGTGGATACTGTGAAGCCGGTGCCGCTGAGCCGCGTTTTATAGTCAAAATATTATATTCGCGGGAGGCCTGAAGTGGCGCCCCTCGCTGCCGGTTGGGTTCGCCCGGAGGGACCGGTTGAAAATCCCGCCAGGGACCGGGCCGGTCATGCGGTGGTGTGGCAACCGGTCCGCCGGTACGCGGCTCCCCGCCCCGCTAATGACCGGCTAGATTTTGTATTACAGAAAAAAGGTTGTCGCTTGTTGCGAACATTATGCAACAATCGATCTAGTTGGACAAAATCCTTTCACCAAAGGTGGCCGGTCGCTTTCTGGAGTATATCTATGTCAAAATTGATCCGTACTTATTATTTAAATTGTATCGGGCGAGCTCGTAGTTTTGCCAAGAGGGCCGCGGTCGTCGCACCACTGCGCCGCCGCGCAGTGGGCCTCAGGAATTTCAAAACCTCCCTAGGTCTCTGTCCTCTTCTAGATGGAGGAATGTTACTTCTTTCGGAGCTTGCAGAATAGATCCGAACGATTTAATTTTTTTACAAGACTGTGCATTTTCCGACCAAAATTGTGCTAATTTTTGCATGTGATTGGAAGAAAAATTAGCGAATTTTTTTTTTTATTTGATTATTCGCCCCCTTGTTTCCCAGAAAAATGACCCTTACAAAAAAATAAAAAAAAAAAAAAAAATCCTTTCGTTGAAAAGTAGTGACGTTCTTTCGTCCGTGAAAATTCGATCTTCTTCGGAAACCTTTCAAATGACCTTTTTTTAACCCCAATATTGAAGTTATGAAACCAGAAAAAAGGTCAAAACATTTTGAGCTATTTGTCGCCCCTTTCCCTCCAATCAAGCGTTCATGACGTATAGGTCCCTATCCTCGATTACTTGTGAAAATAAGAAGGCATAACGCTCCCCTCAACCTTCTTGCTCCCATACAGCATTACGTATTTAATGGACAACCTCCTAGGTTACGACTGGTAAGAGTCTCTGGGTCTCATGTGGGGTTCTTATGGATATATCCGTGGCTGCTACAGTGCTACGCGGCCCAACTCCCAGAAGCCGCTCGTAGGCCGTGGGATAACCCACAAACCACATAGATCGGGCTCAACCAGGAAGTATATCTCCCTTTGATAGTCGCTAAAATTATGAAAATTAGTCCCATAGATCTTCAGAATGAGCTGTGACAAAAAATGAACTTTATTACATTGCATGTTTCAATGGTATAATTTACAAATGTATTTAATAATATAAAAACCTTGGGTCATATTTCCAAAATCTGAATAAAACGGACTCATCTTGGGACTATCACCAGTCAATGGCCGAACAAATCATGGAATTCGCCCCACAGAACTGTAGGACGAACTGTGACAAGAAATAAAAATTAAAAGGTAAGGTAGCTTATAGTAATAATCAGGGCCGGATTTTTAGGGGAGGGTGCCGGGGGACCGTAGAACCCCAGCCCCCTCGCAATTTTTTCCTGTCTTCAATATCCTCCAGGGGTCTTTAAGGTCTAAAAGACGGATTCAGAGAGGCCGTAAGACTGGAAGTTTGAGTGTCATGGGGCTCTTAAATTCTAGGATTTAGGCCTTAATGACCAGGACTTCGGGTCCCTGAGCAATAATCCAGCCCTGGTAATGATGAACTCCGACCTTTTTTTGCCGGGTGTCTACAAGTCCGGAATTTCCGGAAAGAGTTCTGATTTTTGAAGGGCGGTCCGGAATTACTGATAAAATGCGGAATTCTGCAAGACGGTCCGGATTTGTTTCATTTTTTTTTTCCATTTATGTCGCAATTTGAGCGGGGAAATTCAAATTTTTGAAATTTGCCGAATTTCGTCAATTGGAGGTACTGAAAAAGTACTGAATTTTCTGTTGAGGAGGTACTGAATTTCTTGGGAATGTACTGAAAAGGACTGATTTTTGGCCGGTCGGTTTTAGTACACACCCTGTTTTGGTTTTGTCCGTCGGAATGAGAAAAGTTACCCGACGAGCGACGTCTGGACGCGGATTGGGTAAACTTGAGGAGACTTGGCCGCGGGGCGATGCGAACATCTGCGATGGGTTGCGAGCGGTGCGCCCGGCGCACGGGACTCCATTAGGCCGTTGTACCTGTCCCGCCGGGTTCGCCCATAAATTACCTCGCTTCCCCCGTCCCCCGTTGCACCTGATACGGAGAGCTAGTAAATTAATTAACATCTCGGTACTCGCCGCTTTGTCTATTTGTAGCCCCGTTCATTCGCCCGAGCTTTTCGTGTTTTCACGCCTTTTGACACTCCCTCGCCCCCTTTTCGCACTCCCACGCATGTGCCGTTCTCTTTCTTAATTTACACCCGACCGATCGGATACGGAGCTTCATTTATTAGAGTTTTTATTCATTTTCCCGCAGGATTTTGTCAGATCTCGTTGTAAGAGAATCCCGTATTTCGATGGCTGGAGTCAGCAAATCGGGGGAGTGACGCGCTTTGCGATACATCGATTTCTGCTTTAGACTGATCTAGTGACTGCGTCATTCTATGTAATGTGTCTGTAACCCTTGGTTCAGACAAAAAAGAACTGACATAACCTCATGTCCTAATTCCTCAAGAGTTAATTGTGTTAGTTTATAAACATTTAGTCATTGACCGGTCGTAAATCAATTGAAAACTCATTAAACAAGAGAAATTTCGATTGTAAGAAACACTTGGACGCATTTTACCAGAATGGCGCAAAGGGCGCGAATTAGATACAAGGTTCTGCGTTTGTTCACATTCGAACCAAGAGGTGGATATTATATAGAATGATGTAGCTACTAAATCAGTCTATTCAAACCTATGGAAAATGTAAATCTTCTTTGCAAAGTTATCAACTACTCCTAGAAATCCTATGCCGGGTCAAAGTGACCCGACTACCTCTTCTGGGGAACTGACAGTTCCGGTATATACGACCTTCAGATGTACACTGAAAAAAATGAGTTAGCGTCAGATGACTAAAAATGGTTTCTATACACTAACTCAAATTGTGTGATTTGGACACACATGATTTTTGGTTTCTGTACACTAACCACTATTAGTGCTGGAAACTAATTCCGCTACTCTAATTCGCATTCGGTAGGGTTGGGTCAACCTAACCTCAAAACTGAGAGAGGAGAAAACGGCTTAGNGTTCTCTTTCTTAATTTACACTCCACCAATCGGATACGGAGCTTCATTTATTAGAGTTTTTATTCATTTTTTCGTAGGATTTTGTCAGGTCTTGTTGTAATGTGCTGGTTACACGCTCAAATTCCCATCAATTTCCGATCAAATGACTAGTGCGCACTATCTACCATCAAGTTTCTGCGGCCTGCAAAAATTTGATGGTAGATGATGGAACTGTGGGGCTCATACTTCATCTGATTTCCACACAACCGTGCTTATTTCATGCTTATTTCAATCAACACGTTGTTTTAATTAATTTTACTCATCAATCTAGATAACTCTCGACCGCCATCTTGGTCATCATTTTGATCGGAATTTGACGGAAAGCTCGTGTAACCAAGCCATAAGAGAATCCCGTATTTCGATGGCTGGAGTCAGCAAATCGGAGGAGTGACGCGCTTTGCGATATGTCGATTGATCTGCTTTAGACTGATTTAGTGACTACCTCATTCTATGTAATATGGAACCCTTGCTTCAGACAAAAAAGAACTGACATAACCTCATGTCCTAATTCTTCAAGAGTTAATTGTGATAGTTTATAAAAATTTAGTCATTGACCGGTCGTAAATCAATTGAAGACCCATTAAACAAGAGAAATTTCGATTGTAAGAAACACTTGGACGCATTTTACCACTGTGGCGCAAAGGGCGCGAATTAGATACAGGGTTCTGCGTTTGTTTACATTCGAACCAAGAGGTGGATATTATATCGAATGATGTAGCTACTAAATCAGTCTATTCAAACCTATGGAAAAGTATAAATCTTCTTTGCAAAGCTATCATCTACTCCTAGAAATCCCGTGCCGGGTCAAAGTGACCCGACTACTTCTTCTGGGGGACTGACGGTTCCGGTACATACGACCTTCAGATGTAGGTCTACAAATACATCATAATAAAAAGAGTCAGACATCGAATTTGAAAAAAAGAAAAAGAAAAAGAAAAATCGAGTGTCAACATAGTCAAAGATATGAAATACGTAATTAGGCTTCGTTTTTTATCACGCTTCCCGAATCTAAGCGACGCGACACCTCATTGGCAGCATAGAGCGGAGCATCGCGAGTTGACGCCTCAGGCCATCGCGCCTTCAATTTTGCAGATGCAACACGGACATCCATCAAGCACGAATAGTTGTATCTCTGCGCCGCGCCTTCATCAATGCGCCTCATTTCCCTTGCTCTACTCTCTGAGTGTATCCCCGCTTGTCATATTTGTAGTGGTTCCTATTTCTCAACATCGCATTTAGAGGGAAAAAAGACTCGGGAGTGGTATTCTCGCTCGCAAATTTTCTCTTGCTAAAAATTAAAGTCAAGAAAAAACATTTTGAACGTGAAAATAGTCGAAAGTTTGCTCTTGACATTGAATCTTGCATAAGAAAAACTTCAAACCCCCTTTTTCGGCGCAAACCTAGTGTGTTTCTGTTAAATCCAGTTTATTTTTCACGTCCTATTTGATTTGTTGAAAATGAGGAAACTCACAAACCCCCCATGAAAAGAACCCCCTTAACATTGAGTCTTGGAGAAGAGGAACTTCAAAACCCTACTTTCGGTTCAAATGTAGTGTGTTTCTATTAAATCCACTTTGTTTCTCTCCCCCTATCTGATTTGTTGAAAATGAGGAAATTCACAAACACCCTATGAAAAGCTCTGTGCCATTTTTCCCCAGGTTATTTTCAAATCAGCGTTCTGTTTTCTCCGTGCATGGAAGAAAAGGCTCAAATACGAACCCTTGTCTTATCCCGTAGCATTTTGCGTTCGCATTCAAAGCGTGAGAGACGAACGAATTCCTAAGCGCGGGTATGCCCAAATCAGATCAGACAGTGACCTTGAACTTTTCACCTCTTTCTCACGTCCTGCTTCGCATTGCGTACCCCGCACCGGGCAGTAATT